GACCCGCAAATAAACCACAACAAACCACCGGCCTAGCCTAGGCTAAAGTTGGTATTCCTAGCAAGCATCTAAGTGTGCGAAAGAGGTCGTGTGGCTTGGATAGGTCCTATAGGAATTATTGTTCAAATTGCATGTATTATTAGAGTTTATTTATTAAAGGTCAAATGGGAATTTAATTGAAGTTTAAGTAGAGTGTATTTGAATTTTTCCAATTTTAGATGTTGAAGTTATTTGATTTAGTTATAAATAACTTATAGATTGATAATTCCCTAAGTGCAGGAAACTATCAATTTATAAGTCCTAGGACTTTCAAAATGCACACTTGTCTTATAAAGAAGATAAGTGTTCATTTTGAGAGTCCCTGAAGTTTTATTAGAAAGAGGAAAAAGGGACCTTATAAATGCAATACTACGTGCCCTCCCGAAGGAATGTAGCCCGTCGTATAAGGTTTGTGTATTATTATATTTATTTGAAGATCTCCAAATCCAAATGTATTAGTGCCTTCCTGAAAGAAGTCATGCACAATACATAGGAGATCTTTTGGTTATTTAAGTATATTAAAGACCCCTTTAAATCAAAATGCCTAAAGCCCTCCCGCAGGAAACAAACTTTAGGCATATAGGTCTTAATCCATTTAATTTAAATCAATAATCAAATTTGATTGATTAAAATAAATCTTAATAAATCAAATTCTTGTATTAATTTAATTTAAATGGATTAAAATCTAATTTAATTCTTAATGAATTTTATTTTAATATTCAGAAATTTTCTAATTAATACTTATTGAATATTTAATAAATAAATGATTTAAAATTAGAAAATATTATAAAAATTTTATTTAAATTGAAAATATTATTCTCTGAATTTTATTGATTTAATAAGGATTTTGATGAATTTTAAGATTTATTTATTATTTAGTTAACCATTTATAGAAAAATATGTTATTTAAAGAATTATTAATGAATTAATATTTAAAATTTTATTTTAGTTTCACATTATAATTCTCCAATTTTTATTTAGTTTTGTTGAATTTTCATAGATTTTTTAGAGTTTATTTAGTATATTTAATTAATCATTGAAAGAATTTAGTTAATTAGTGATTTATTAAAGAACTTGATATTAGAAAATTATTTAAAAAAATTAAAATTAATGCATTTCTGGTTTGAATTGATTTTAAATGAGTTTATTTTATATTTTTAATACTTATTGGAATTTATATGAGTTTTAATGTATTTATTCAATTAATGCTTGATAAAGGGTGATTAAGGTCTAATTTAAGTTTAAAGAGATTTTAGTCTTTGTTTTGACTTTGAATGGTTGTAAATTTGTTTAAGGTTGATTAGAGTTGATTGAAGTTGATTTAGATCTTTAGGAATTTTATTTGATTTATTTAGGTTTGTTAATGCAAAAGAAGAAGATCCTTAAAGAAGGATCACCTAAATCTACTAGTTGTTATAAGGTCGATTAATGTCCAATCAATGTGTGTTAGATCAAAGGGTATATGACACAAGTTTTCTATGTTTGAGTTTCATCCCAAAAGGGATGTATAAAGTATATCCTAGATTGATCTAAGTTGGCTAAGACATTGTCCTTAATTGTTGTCCTTAATGTCACTAGGTTATAGGGTAGCAAATCAATGTTCTCCTAACCCTTGGACACTAATTACAACCACATCAACACAAAACATGAACAGTAAAAGTGCCCAAACATTCTATGGAATGAATATAGTGAATTATCATAGTTTTAGGTCATGTAATGACCTATAAGCTTAAACAATTTACTATAGAGGAATAGATACATCAAATTAGAATAAGATGATCTTGGGACATATACATATATGCATATGTGTATCAATATCCCTAAATCAAGAGTTAATCTAATTTGATATAGTAATCATGTATGATTAATTAGTTACTTAAACTAGATTAAGCATGATATTGAAGGTAAATTTTAGCTAAGCCATACATGATTAAGGTCTAAACCTATTCTCAGTGAAAAGAAGGCTTTACACTTATTCCATAGAACCCTAATATGCTAGGAATTGATTTAATTTGGATTACATTTGAATTTACAAAAGTTTAGGTCAAATCATGACCAAGACTTTTGTAAATTCAAGTACCACATATATATGCATCAAATGGACTTGAGGAAATTACAGTGGATCAAAAATAGGCCCTATTACACCTCTGCCAAAATTTAGCTCAAAATAAAATATATAATTTTATTTAAAAATAAATTAAGGTTTTTTGAATTATTGGAATTATTAATAAAATGTTACTCAAAATAATTTTTAATTATTTTTTAAAAAACTCAAGAACATCAAAAATGGATTAGAAATGAAATTCCTATGCATTTTTGAAGTTCTGGGAAGTTTCTGAAAATATTTTGAGGGTTTTAATCATCTGGTCAGCTCGCGGCGCTGACCTGACACGCGTCGGCAGCGGGCGCGACTGCGTGGACGGCGGCGGTCAAGTGGGACCGTCTACTTAACCAGCGCGACAGTGATATCAACCGCCCGATCGATCACAAGGGAGATCTGACGGCTGCGATCGAAACTGCAGTTGATCTCAACACAGAAGAAACCAATGGCCAGGATCATGCCCGCGGTTTGAAATGAATAGATCGGATGAAGTCGGATGAGATCCGTCTATCCGTTCATTTTAAAAGGTTGAACTAAACCTTTAAAACGACAAGATCACACCCGTCTGTTTCAAATAGGATGAATGGATGATGATGATTTCGTCTTCCTTAATCAGTTGAACCCGCAAACCCTAGGGCATTTTTTTGTCTCATTTTAGCAAAATACTGAACTAAATAATATTAAACTTTAAACAGAGGTAGAATTAGATCTAAGGAAGAATAGTGGATGGTGTTTATAGCCATTGATGCAATATTTAGTGAATTATTTAGGAACCTATATAAACTCCTAGGGTTTGAGATTTACCGTGTTATAATGAATGGATTTGAGTGATTCAAAGTTCTTTGAATTCAGGGATTGTTGAAGCTCAACTTCCTTGAAGAAATCGAGCTCGGAGGAGGCCTCTACACGGAGTTGATGAGATTTGGACGGAAGTGACCTCGGATCCTTGCTCCTCTCATCGCCGGTGAGCTCCAAACAATGGGAAAAGGTTGGAATAGAGTTTAGGAGAACTCCAGGAAGCAGAACAAAATGTTAGAGCTCTCTGAGAGTGAATGGAATGGGAGATCGCTTAGAATCAATGAATCCGTCCCCTATACCCCATTCCAACTGCTAGAGTTCACTTGGACGGCTGAGATGCCTCAGTTAGGATGCTGGGATGCTGGACACCTAAATCAAGTTGTTAGGAGGAGAGGAATCAATGGATAAATCCAAGGACATCTATGTGGAAAGGTATTTTTGTCTCACATGAGCTCAAGGGTTTTATTCAAACCATTTGATTCTGATCTGAAGGCTGAGAATCACTCTAGGAAGCTTCTAGAGAATATTCAAACAGTTAGATGGGTTTGGATTAAAGGATGATTAGGTTTAAATGGGGTTTTGACCCCATGACCATTCCAAAGCATGATTTGATAATTTGACTGGTCCCCATGCCATGTGGCAGCTGAGGTGGCATGGGGGAGGGTTTTGGAATTAAATAAAATTGTTGGAATGGATTGATGGGGAGTGGGCTAGCTTGGGTCAAGCCATTTGGGCATTTAAGCCTCTTTGAAGGAATTTGTTGACTATGTTGACCAGTCAATTGGTCAACAATAGGTGAGGTGGCATATGGGAATGCCATGAGTGCTGTAATGGTTGTGTTTGGATGGGTTTGATAATCAAGATTTGAGTTTTGAAGGCATGAGAGGGAATTTGAGCCATTTTGACCAAGTCTGCAAATGTTGACTTGGTCAGAGTGACCATGACTTGACTCATAGTACACTTGGAGATGTTCAAAGCATTGATAGGAATGGTTTGAGAACTTGGTATGAGTTTGATAGGCTGAATGGGTTGAAATAACTCATTCAAAGCCTTAAAGAGGTTATTGGGTCAACTGGATTGACTGGATCAACCAGGTTGACCCAGGGAGTGGGTCTGGACTGGACATATTTGAAATTGTATTAGGAGTCTAGTGGATGTGATTTCAAGGTTCAAATAGGTCATTTGGATCAAATACACCTATTTGGGCCTTTAATGGACCATTGAGTCAATCCTGGTTGACTTGGTCAACCAAGTGGGTCTAGAGTTTGATGATAGGTTCAACAGATTTGAAATGTTATTTTGAGTCTCTTGGATGTAGTCCCAGGGTCTAGGGAGATCAAATCAGTCAAAAATCCTATTTTGGCCCTAAAGGGTCTGTTTGGTTAATCCTGTTGACTTGGTCAACCAGATTGACCCAGGGGTTGGGAATGGATCCAACATGTTTGGTTTGATATTTAAAACTTGTTGGAGGAGGTTGCATTCAATTTGGAGGTCGTTTGGGTTTGAAATCAATGTTTGAGCTATGGGTATCCTGGTCATTCTGATCTCAGGTCCACTAGAGGAAGAAATGAGTCCAAAAAAATGTAATTTATTGTTCAGCATGTCAGGATTAATGATTTGGAAGTGATTGGCAACTTCGGAGGAAGCTCCAGGGTCAGGATCCACTGGGTGAAAGATCCAGTGGCATAGGCCGTAAATATTTGAAGGTTTTACAGCCTTTGGATTTTAATTGAGTTTCTGGGGTTAGGGACCTCAGAATGGGCTCGACTTTGGAGGATTACCTCTAGAGACATGTCCCTTCAGTATGAAACTGACAGACCCTGAATCAGAGGTCATTTGATAGAGTTTTGAAGTGTTTGAAAATTCACTGGAAAAGACTTTCAGGAATTGGACCTTTAACCTTGAGTTTGAGTCTGAATTCTTGGACTTAATTGGGGTTTGGATTTAAATGATTAAGTTTGAGTTACCTAAATCAATTATGATCATTTGGGATGATCATAAGTATTTAAGTGGGATTGAATTTGAATTGATTTTAAGATCCCATTAGAGACCTCATACAAAAATGAGGTCAACAGAATATAACAATCTAAATTATGACGTTGAGGCATCTGAGTTCATAAAAGTGTCTATTGATAATTTGCGTGCTGAGATAGTTATTACAGTACAGGAAGTAGAAGGACATAAATCAATTTCCAATCTTAGGGAGTTTGTTAGTTCTGAACAGATAATTGAATGTTCTTTTGACTATAATGATTCGAGTGTTCCAACTTTATGTTCTAAAGATATAGCTATTGGTACCTATTTTCCTAATGTAATAAGTTTCAAGCATGCTTTGCAATCAGTTGCCATCAAGGAGAATTTTGGGGTTATGATTAAGGCTTGTGATAAGAAAAGTGTTATTACTACATATTCTTATGAAGGTTGCCAATGGAGAATTCGAGCTTCTCTATGTGAAGATGCTCAAACTTTTGATGTTAGAAGACTTGATGGAGTTCACACTTATCCAGGGATCAACTATGCTAGGAATAGACTAGCCACATCAGCATGGGTTGCCAATGAGATTCAAGAGATGGTCAAAAGGAATCCATACATTCCTTCAAAAGATATCAATAACTATTTAGAGAAAGTGTATGGTCTTTCATTACCTTATATGAAGCTATGGAGGTCGATGGAGCAAGCTCGTGATAGTATATTTGGCTCTATTGATGATAATTATAAATGGGTTCTAACACTACATGTTGAATTGATTGGTAGAAATCATGGTTCACATATCACATATATGTATGACCAATGTGATAATTCATTTAAGAGATTTTATGTCAGCTTTAAAGTGTGTATAGATGGATTCATGTATAGTTGCAGACCTCTTATCAGTTCGGATGCATGCTACCTCAAATCCAAGCACTTGGGAATGCTTTTATTAGCAATCTCACTTGATGGTAATAACGGTTTATTTCCTTTAGGCTTTTTCTTTGTTGAAACTGAATCTAAGCAAACATGGTTATGGTTCCTTCATAACTTGTGAGAAAGTATTGGTACACACATAGAACCTCTTGCATTCATTTCAGATTTGGAGAAGGGCTTGGGTGTGGCCATTAAAGAAGTATACCTTGGAGCTGAGCATAGAATTTGTATTCGCCATTTGTGGAAGAATATGAAAAAAAAATTCATTGTTTTTCATTGTAAAGATAGACATAAATTACAAGGTTTGGTTTGGGCAACATCTAATGCGTACACAGCCACAAAAGTAGAATGACAAGCTTGCTGAATTAAGTGTACTATATCCGACTATCTATTCATACCTTATCTCATTACCTTACAAGTGGTCACGAGAAGTCAGTTTATGTTTGTGATATACCACGCTACTAATACCAATAACATTGCTAAATCATTCAATGCTTGAATAATGGATGTTAGAAATAAACCTGTTGTTGACTTAATTGACATGATTCGTGGTAAACTCATGGAGCAAAGGGCTACATGTAAGATGACAAGTTTGACTTGGCAACGTGAAATAGTTCCTCATGCTAAAGAATACATAAGAGACATTACTACAAGAAAAGAACATCTAATAGTTTGCCAATATAATATTTTCAAGGCTGAGGTGGAATCCCTTCATTCAAGACATATAGTTGATGTTGAGAGCAGAGATTGCACATGTAAGGTATGGTAATTAACAGGACTTCCTTACATTCATGCCATTGCTTTCATTGGGATGAAGGAGCATCCACTATGGCATACATATGTTCATGATTACTACAACATTTACCAGTAACTCTAACATTTGAACTATTTCGTTTCAATTTCCACATCACACTTGCTACATTAATTTTAAGTTCTTTAGGTACAGGATGGCGTACGATGGAGCAATTGGCATGCTACCTGGGAAGGATCAATGGCAAGTGGTTCACGATCGCAATCTAATAACTACAGGGCTGAAATTTATGTGACATTATTATAGACAACTTGGAACCTTATGAACTTTAGAAGAAATTTGAACCATATGAACTTTAGAAGAAAATTGTATAAGAAAGCATTTGTGGATGGATGAATAATTGCTATTCTTTGTATAAAAACATTATCAATGTGTATTGTTAACATTAAACAAAACTGAATGGTTTTACTTTAATTGGCTATGGAGAATTCGATATTCTTACTCGGCCTATGTGATTCAATGTGAAAAATCTCAAACAAGATTGAAGATGCACAAAAACAAATACTTCTTTCATTCCACAAAAAATATTGAAGATACAAAATACTAATACAAAAAGCTAGCTCAAGTCACAGCAATGCTTGAATTAGTAACCTTCGACAAATACATAATAAACTACTAATATAACACCTATCATCCTCTAAAACCGTCCATACATGCAACTTGAACACCACAAAATACTAGCCAAATAAAGTCGAACTATAATGTTGATAAGAACAACCGCAATAAAAATTTTAATCATCAGGAGAATCCTGTCAAGCTTCTTAGAAGTCTTTTTGTCGAAGGCATTAAAATTCGTAATGTGTGACATAGCATGACTCTTCCTATTCATCAACCCGTTTAAAGTAATGGCAATCATCATCACTTTGATTAATAAATACACCTATACAATTATCTTCTACTATTTGGTCCTTGGTTGAAGGTAAACATAACACATTAGAGGTAACAATGGCAATATACTTGGTATTGCTGCCGCTTGGCTCTCACAACTGATGAATTTGAAGAACTCATTATAACTTCAAAAAAATTATGTCAACACACTCCACTGAATGCTAACAAGCGAATCAAGTTAAAACAATGAGAAAAAAAGAAAATGTTTTGGTGGCACAACACAGTCCAATGAATCCTATGAAATCAATCCAAGCAAAAAAATAAAAATAAATAAAGTGATTGTGAAGATGTTCGACCTCAATGGCATGAAGGAAAAAAAATTAATTAAACAAACATCAATCCAAGTAAAAAATCTCAACATATCTGCTTAAACTCAAAACAAAAATATTTCTGCATAAGCGGTCCGACCTCAATGGCGTGAAGGGAAAAAATTTAACTAAATAGAAATCCAAGTAAAAGTCTCAACATATCTGCTTAAACTCTAAACAAAACTACTTCTGCATAAGTGGTCCGACCTCAATGGCGTGAAGGGAAAGTTGAAACATGCTTCCATAATCTACATCTCATATCGAAACAAAGTTTTCATTCTTTTACCTTGGATTGTGAAGAGGTTCGAATTCAATGGCGTTATTCCTCTCCTTCTCAACTTCACCCGTTGATGTCCTAAAAACAAAAAATTGGAAGACGTCGTTAGCCTGCGAAGAAGACGTTGTTAGCGTGCGAAGAAGTCATGATGGACTGTGTAGACGGAGTGATAGAAATGAGGTGAAATAGATATTTGAGTGTTAGAAGTGTAATATTAATAAATGAGGTGATAGATATGTAAAATTATAAGTATTTATTGATATGATATGTATGTAAATTTTCCTAAAAAATTTTTTTTGGCAGCACAAAATAAATTCATCCGAAAAATAGGTGAAACAATTCGAGTGTGTAAGTAGAGGTAGGTCTCCACCTCAAATAAAAACTCCTTCGCGACAGAGAATAATCTCTCGAGCTCTTGGGTTAGTGGCGAGAAGAAAAGCTGCATAAGTCGCCGTAGAAGAGTGAGAGGCATCTTCTCCTCCAAAGAGAGCTTCAGCTTTCGACTTACTTCTGCACAATGCTTTCTCGCTTCTTCTCTCTCCGCAGGCATGCCGTTCTAAACCCTAAACCCGAAGCCAAAATCAGTCATAACTCATGAATGCCTTCGTCTAATTAGTGGAAGCCCCTTTTCCCTCATCTTATTTGATGTCCCCACTTTATCGAGCTTCGAATGATTATGGATTTAGTAATTCGAGGTTTCAGGATTTGTTTGAAAGAAAGTAGCTTCTTTCTTGCCAAGGATAGCGGAAAATGGTCCTTTTGTCGCAGCGCCCGTGCCTTCTGGTTGGGGAACTTTTGCTCCTCCGCCTCCAATCGGGATGGACTGCCGGCATTGGTGTTTCCGCGTGTATTGAGATTAAATTCTCTCAAAAGTTAAAAAAAAAAGGGCCGCTACAGGGTTATCTCTTGTTCTATTTCTTCATGGTTTTTTATTTACTTGTAGTGCGTCTACAAGAATACGGATGAGCCATTGGAATTTTTTTACTGGAAGTACAGTGGTGTCCATGGAGGCCAGCAGACAAATTTGTATTTACCTAATTGTTTTAGGTGGCAGTGCATTTATATCCCCCTCATGCGATGAACTGATTGACAAAATTTTTCCCTGAGAATTTCCGTTTGGCTGTGTATCTTTTTTCTACTCAAATTGTTATTTTGGCGGGGCTTTAGAGTTGGCGAGAATCCTAGGCGCTTGATACGTACATTGGCCTCTATTCTTTAACTAACTTTGATGCATTTTTAAATAGACTGATATTTCCTAATGTAGTTTCAGTCCTGGATTAGGAACTTAATATGGCCATCTTCAACCGAAAAACTCATTTTTCACTCCAAAATACAATAATACTCCAAAATGTAATAACTCGTCTCCAACGGAACTTCATTTTCTAACACTCATTTTTCACCCAAAAAATTTAGCGTGGGTGAAGTATTCACTTCTGGAATTATGCTCGATATATGGTGTTCGATTGAAGCTTTTGGCAGAAGGCATTCAAGTGTTTCACGTTCGGTTGAAGATGGTCTAACAGATCTTAACTAACGAAAGCATTTCTAGTGCTTTAGTGTTTCTGCATTAAACTATTGTAATTTACTTTTGCCCACATCTGCCATCCTACTGACTGCCACTTGATGTTGGATTTTCTAATCAGGAATTTCATATTTGCTCCTGTATTTTATTGGCTGAGACACTAATGCTTACATATCTCTATGGATTTTTGGCTTTATTTAGTACCACAATTAAATGATATATCCCTGTTATTGTTTATGTTTATGAAGGCAGGCAGTTTCTTCAAACTTTCTTGCTGAGAAACTTAGTTATGTTAGAGATGCTTCATGGTCATATAATTTGGTTTCTGAACGTGGCATTTCAACTGCTGGTTCAGGTGTGTTGGCCAATGTGTTGATGATAATTTCACTCACTCTTCCTCTATGATTAATTGCTGATCTAACACCTTCATTACATTTTTTTTTTCTTGTAGAGCGTAGTTCGGGTAAGGCATTTGCTGATTTTTCTATTTTTAAAGGAAAAGCTGCACTTTTAATGTCTCCTGTGCCTCCAACATTCACCAAGATGGATGTAAGTTTTATTTTGGTTCTTTACGCGTTGTTTTGGAATGATATATTAAAAAAAAAGGATTTTACTAATCTGCAGTCCGGGCATCAAAGAGTTGATAAAAAGGGTGTTGTCTTGTTGAAGTTCATCCCTGCAATTGGTCAACGGAAGTATGATAGTGAAAGGAAGCAGGTAGTGTTTCTTACCTAAGGATTTTGGGGGTTAGTTCTTAAGCGTTTTCCTTGCTAATTCCAATTTTTACAAACTGTGTTGCCAATTTAGATGCTGAAATACTTAAACCTGGAACCTTTTAAAGATGCCACCTTTCTAAAATTTGAATAAGCTTACTGTTTATTATTTTGAAATGTAGGAAGAGGAATAGAACAAAGGTTGTATGGCTAGAGGTAGGGGTGTCAATATTTGACACAACCCGTATCCAAAACGGGTCGGGTTCGGATCAACAAATCAACCTGTTTCAAGAATCGGGTCGGGTTCGGGTTGACCCAGTAACCCGAAATTGACCAGAAAACCTGTTTTGACCCGGAAACTCGAGATTGACTCGTTTTGACTCGCTGATCTGAAAATTGGAAATTGACTTGCTTTTTGACAAAAAAACTAGCAATTTTTGGTCTGTCCCGGGTCATTCGGGTCGTGCGGGTTGACTCGGACCCGAAACGGGTTTGGTTCGGGTCGGAAAAATCGACCCGTTTGCAAAAACGGGTCGAGTTCGGGTTGACCCAAATAGTGCCGGGTCAGTTTCGGGTTCGACTCGAATCCGACCTGTGACCTGAAATTGATATCCGTAGCTAGAAGTTGCACAAAATAAACTTAGGAATATTAGAAATATCATCTAATTTAGTACTCAATAGGAATGAATGAATGGAGGATTCATATTGCCAACTCAAAAAGTTTGGGTAATGCTATTGATGATGACTATTTTTCAATTGGATCAAAGAATTTTTGTCTGATTTGTTCTGTTTTTATAAGATCAATTTTCATTTATTGATGAACATCTTCTTTAGTTTTTTGCTTTGTCAGCTACTGAAGTTGGATGTTTGATTAGTCTTGGGCCTGATGAGTCTTGTGAGTTCTTTCACGATCCTTCAATGAAATCAAGGTCTGCTTTAAATCAGCCTCTAACATAAAGCTTGGTCTATTTGTTCACTTATCATATTATGATCCGTACTTATTGATGTCTGCTTTTCAGTTTGGAAGGACAGGTGAAGAAGACATTAACAATTTCACCACTTAATGATGGTGGTGGCTATATGTTCAATCTGTGTAAGCTTTCCTTCTTAGATTTACCTCTTTTTGTGTCATTCCACCAAATGAAATAAAACAGTATTAGTTAGATTACTAAATGTATGAATTGCCCTGAAGGCCTTTTTACATCAAGAACCATGAAGATAAAATTAGGGATTTTTTCCCCTTGTGCTGCCCTAAATATATGAATTAACTAGTATACTACCCAAATTCTTAATGTTATTCTGTTAACTCATACAAAAATTCCACTTTAGTTGGCATTAAGTTAAATGTTGTATGGTGAGACCTACAATGCTTTATGACGCAAAATGTTGTCTATTAAAAGAGAAGCATAAAATTAAGTTAAATGTTATAGAGATGATGTTCATTTAGTTGAGTGGCTTTACATTTAGAGACAGAATGCAAAATGATCATATACATGAAAATGTTGGAGTAACTCTAGTAGCAAATAAGATTAGAGAGAGTCACCTTAGATAGTTTGGTCACTTAAAACCCCATTTAGTGGGATAACGACTTGTTCTTGTTGTAGTTGGCATTAATCTAGATAGATAATTTTTGTTTTATTTCTTTAAAAACCCTTGAATTTGCTGTAATTGTAAAAAGGACCCTTCATTTAACTTTGATCGGGTTAGGTACACTCCTTGGGAACAGATCTGTCCTGTAAATAGTATGGGGTTGGGTTTTGTTGTTATCTTACCAGAAACTGTTTTCAAACTCAAGTATTGATTTGGTCTTCTGTTAGTATTCAAATTCAAACTCGGGTCCATGTTCAAGTTTAGTTTCACTAGGTCTCCTATTGATGGTTCCTTAGTGTTTTAGTAGAAGTGAAAAACAATGCTGTGTTTGGTTTCTTATTTATATTTTCATTGCAGTTGAATTGAGGCGCCAATCATTTGAAGATTACCTATACTTCTCATAAACTTCTCAGCAATAGCTTCAATTTCCTGTTAAGGTTTAAACTCAAATGTTGTAGTAGATTAGACATGTTTACTTGTGTATCAACTTCATTCATTCCCAGTACAGTGAAGTGTTCCTCAGAGTATATTTTTTAGCACTCTACTGTTTGTTAGAATTTGTTAGCCGAACCTATTATTGCCTACTTAGCTAATTTGATGCATACTCAATTGAACGTATCATGTCAACCTAAATCTTCTAATTCCTAGGCTAAGAAAATATGAGTTCTTTTCTGCAATCTAATATAAAAGTATCATCATTGCATCATTGTGAAATATTAGGTTAATCGATATCATAATATGGATTGAAACACTAGTGTTAACTATTATTTTTATCATTTATCCATAACACTAGTGGTACCTATTATTTTTATCATTTATATGATACTTATCACGCCTCATGCTGACCTTCTCCTTATCAATCAATAAGGGATGCAACAACGGAATTCAAACAATTCTTTTTTATATTTCATAATGCATGAACTATATATGAAATACAAACTTTTATCAGCTGCAAAGCTGAAGTGGTTCAAAATTTTATTGATAATGTCACTACAGAGTAACTACCAACCCCAAAAACATTCATGATATAAATATCTTACTAACTTCAATGCAACAACTCGCTTACACTTTACAGTGGAAAACATAAATAAAAAATGAACTTGTTTCTATTCGACCTCATTCTTATCCTTACCCTATCCTGTAAGAACAATCAGAGTAAAATCTAGTAAGTTATGATGCTCATAAAGATATACAACTTTAATATAGGATTCATATATACAAAAGACGCAACTAACATGTCAAAGTAATGACTGTATGTAATAAAGCTATGCTTGTTTTATAATACAACATTAATATGTATAAACTACATGAATGAGCTATATATAAAAAATCATGTAACATTAATATGTTCATCTGAATAAATAAGACAAAATGCCAACCACGATAAGATTGAGAAAGTAATATTATGACAGTTATTTTTAACATTAACCCTAAATTTAATCGCATAATTGTTTCATTTAATTGCAAATCTTTCCTTTCAAATTTCATATCATTTCTAGCTTAAGAATGTGTCATATTAAGATGTCTAGGTTCAAGTCATCTTTAGCTATAAACTTCATCATACTGAGTTCACATTGCTTCTTGAGGTCACCTTGCCTCCATAGCCCATAGGCTTCATCATATTGGGGTTGCATTATCTCCATTTGGATTGTATTGTCCCACATGCCTATCACATAACATGACATTTTCTTAGACTTATAAGATGTTGATCACTGCATTTACTTTTAACTTGTAATTAAATATGTTATTCATTATTTTAGATAAACAAGTAATTTTAGTACATGTATAATAAGGAAGACTACAAATAATATATGCTTTTTCTTTTTCAAAATGTTATCAATTAGTGAAACATTTATATAATCACAAGATATTTAATTTTTATCTTGAATTATTAAAATCCATACATGGTTATTTGTATATGGATACTAAGTTATGGGCATACATTCAACAATATGAAGAATTTCGTATGCATTTCATACGTGAACTTTAGTTTGAGTGCGATTGTACATTCAAAAAGATTAAATAGCTCACTTTCTAAATTAAAAGATTGCATAACTTACCTCCATGAGGTGTTGTCTCCTCAATTCGGACACCTCGCAACCTCCTTCATGTGCAAGTCACCTATACCAACCGAAAGTGCTTAATTTGACACATTTGTACAAATGTCTACCCAAATCATATAATTACATATAAGTACTATTAATTCTTCCCCAATAATATCCCTCACAATTTTTTCTCTTTATACATAGTTTGAATCCTCAAAATTTTTCCTTATAATATATTACAAGCTTCCTATATAATAGTTGAATATATTTAAATAATAAATTCATATAAAATAATTATATACATAAAATATCAAATTCCCTTGCTTTTTTTCCTTCTTTAATTTCTTTTTTCTCTTTTTCCTCTCACTAGATTCCCACTTCTGGCTCTACGGCCTGCACTTCCTAACAACCCTACTCGAGCTCCAGTAGGCTAAATGATGTAGAACGGGTAGGAGGTTTTCAGTCCTACTGGTCTTGAAGAGCAACTCGTGAGTTTAAACATCAGCTTTTGACACTTGGGAAATTCTGGACAGCAAGTAGCCAACATGGGATAGCGATTCTGGATAGTTCCGGGCAGCCACGGTCGCTCCCGGAGGGGCTGGACAGCAACAAACTGTTGCGGGAATCTCTGGACAGCAGCTTTGGCAGCAGGGACAACAGTTTTGTCTTGTAAACAACTTGGGACAACCACTTGGAGGACTTGGGAAGGTCCTGGACAGCAGCAGGAGGGTTCTGGCAGCAAAGTTCCTGGTTGTAAAATTTCTGGCCAGCAAACTTAGGGTGCAGGAAACACCAAACCGGGTGAAGAATAGGAGGAATTGGGAGAAGATAATCCTAGCAAAGCTGCTGGGTAGGAGGCGGTCAGGTAAGGCTAGGATTTGGGGATTATTTCCACTTTGACGGGGCTGATTTTGTGGCCAAATTAATGAGGTTTGAATTGTTTCCTAAGTGGAAATTTTGGGATTTAGGAAACAATTTCCTAATCCCACCCTAGAGGAGCCGGTGACAATCAAGCATGGGGAGGATTGATGAGGTGGATTGATAGCTTCTTAATTTGGGTATTGGGAATAGGAAAGGTTTTAATTAAATCCTTTTGAATTTCAAATTCAAATTGAACTTAATTCAAGAACTTTCCTAAAATAGGGTGGGGCGGTGGAGGAGCTAATGGAGAAAAGGGATTGGGTTGGTGGTTAGGTTGAGGTGAGCTTTGGTAGGAGGGGATATGGAGTGGTGGTTGGTGGTGGGGATGGCCGGAAGGAGGGGGATGGTGAAAAGGATGAAGATAACGACGAGGAGCAATATGAAGGAACAAACAAACAAAAAACAAGAGACAAAAATTAAAGATACAACCGCGAGCCCGGACACATCCTGCGGCTGACGGGTATTACGTTGCCCTTCTCCAAGGGACTTCACGCCACGAGCCCGGACCCATCCTGCGGCTGGTGGAAACTCCGACTCCCTCCCATAGGGATTTCACTAACGTTTTTCCCAAAGAACACAAGTGCAAAACACAAATTTTATTATAATTCCATCATAACTAATACATGAGAAGGGGCCTCTATATATAGGCCTCAAAAGAAATTAAAAGACACATTTGCCCTTTGGGCTTACATAAAACAAGAGGGTAAAAAGGGAAATTACACAATTAAATCAAAATACACTTAATAAACTAAAATAAAACAAAGTGATCTCGATCGTCGATCTTCAGCTCCTCGGATAGGCATGGACGGTTGGATGTCCGCATCACTAAAACCCTCCAACCCGAGAGTTGGTAAGGGAAGAAATGGGAGGAATCGGCTTTAGGGAGAATGATATTATCTTAAATAAGGCATTTTTACATGATTGCCCTCTATACCAATACATGCCACATTAATTTATGGTTTCACAAAATTGATTATTTGAGTCAACAATGGCTTTGGATCCTTGATCTAAGATGAGGAATACTGGGCGTAGTACCTTGAATTTATGTTTAACAAAATGTAAGAAACTTATAAAACTACACCTCACCTGAGGTTAAGTTAGCTCGACCTCTGAACTTACAACTCTGTTTGAAAATGGTAGTTAACTAACCCGCCTAAACGCTTTTAAAACTATGATAGCTGGTTTCAATGTATATGAAGGATATATATGCTATTTTGATTTTGATGATTGAGCTTATAACTTGGCTTTTGGGTAAGATATCTGACTATGTGGGTATGATGCAAATGTTAAATCACTGAATATAAATTTATTTGTTATCTAATCTTTAATGTGAGGTCTTTCTACATGAAACATACTGGTCATATATCATTATTTTATTTTGAAAACTTGGTTTATTAGAGCAAGTCGTGCAATTTTTTTATTTTAAAAACTAGTTATACTATGATTGATTTTAAATTGTTTATATGTTAATTGGTATAAAAATTAATTTTGTCCTGAAAGCCTGCTGCATAAGAAGTCTAAGTCACTCCCACTCAAA